AGACTGAGAGTCGAAGATCAAAATGAATTTTTATGAGAGAGCCACAGAATTTGGTTAACACAAGCCTATCCGATGTTATCCTGACGCCAAATGACTTCGAACAGGCGATAAGTGACATGCCCATGCACTCTGCCCCCAGGGCCAGACTCGTGGAACTCCGTGTTCATCAAGAACTGCAAGAAGCCCCTATCACGAGCCTTTTCCATCCTATGGAGAGGGAGCATGGACACAGGGGTCGTCCCACAGTTACTAAAAACAACAGACATAGCCCCACTCCACAAAGGGGGCAGTAAAGCAACAGCAAAGAACTACAGACCGATAGCACTAACATCCCATATCATAAAAATCTTTGAAAGGGTCCTAAGAAGCAAGATCACCACCCATCTAGAAACCCATCATTACACAACCCAGGGCAACATGGGTTTAGAACAGGTCGCTCCTGTCTGTCTCAACTATTGGATCACTACGACAGGTCCTAGATGCACTAGAAGACAAAAAGAATGCAGATGTAATATATACAGACTTGCAAAAGCCTTCGACAAGTGTGACCATGGCGTAATAGCGCACAAAATGCGTGCTAAAGGAATAACAGGAAAAGTCGGTCGATGGATCTATAATTTCCTCACTAACAGAACACAGAGAGTAGTCGTCAACAGAGTAAAGTCCGAGGCAGCTACGGTGAAAAGCTCTGTTCCACAAGGCACAGTACTCGCTCCCATCTTGTTCCTCATCCTCATATCCGACATAAACAAGAATGTCAGCCACAGCACCGTGTCTTCCTTTGCAGATGACACCCGAATCTGCATGACAGTGTCTTCCATTGCAGACACTGCAAGGCTCCAGGCGGACCATCACCAAATTTTTCAGTGGGCTGCAGAAAACAATATGAAGTTCAACGATGAGAAATTTCAATTACTCAGATATGGTAAACACGAGGAAATTAAATCTTCAACAGAGTACAAAACAAATTCTGGCCACAAAATAGAGCGAAACACCAACGTCAAAGACCTGGAGTGATCATGTCGGAGGATCTCACCTTCAAGGACCATAGCATTGTATCAATCGCATCTGCTAGAAAAATGACAGGATGGATAATGAGAACCTTCAAAACTAGGGAGGCCAAGCCCATGATGACACTCTTCAGGTCACTTGTTCTATCTAGGCTGGAATATTGCTGCACACTAACAGCACCTTTCAAGGCAGGTGAAATTGCTGACCTAGAAAATGTACAGAGAACCTTCACGGCACGCATAACGGAGATAAAACACCTCAATTACTGGGAGCGCTTGAGGTTCCTAAACCTGTATTCCCTGGAATGCAGGCGGGAGAGATACATGATTATATACACCTGGAAAATCCTAGAGGGACTAGTACCGAACTTGCACATGAAAATCACTCACTATGAAAGCAAAAGACTTGGCAGACGATGCAACATCCCCCCAATGAAAAGCAGGGGTGTCACTAGCACGTTAAGAGACCATACAATAAGTGTCAGGGGCCCCGAAACTGTTCAACTGCCTCCCAGCATACATAAGGGGGATTACCAACAGACCCCTGGCAGTCTTCAAGCTGGCACTGGACAAGCACCTAAAGTCGGTTCCTGACCAGCCGGGCTGTGGCTCGTATGTTGGTTTGCGTGCAGCCAGCAGTAACACCCTGGTTGATCAGGCTCTGATCCACCAGGAGGCCTGGTCACAGACCGGGCCGCGGGGGCGTTGACCCCCGGAACTCTCTCCAGGTAAACTCCAGGTAAACTGTCTAGGTGGATTCCTAGGAATTTTCCCTCTGCGAGTCTTGTGATGGGTGATCCATTTAGTGTTATGTTAAGTGGAGCATTTGCAGCTCTGGTTCCAAACTGAATGAAATATGTTTTGTTAGTATTTAGGGTAAGTTTATTCATCATCATCCAGGTAGATATTTTCTGCAATTCAGCAGTGACAGTGTTGGCGAGTATGGCTGGGTCTGGGTGTGAGAAGACGTATGTAGTGTCATCTGCAAATAATATGGGTTTGAGTAGCTGTGATGCATTCGGTAGGTCATTGATGTAGATGAGAAAGAGGAGTGGTCCTAGGACACTTCCCTGTGGGACTCCTACCGTGATTGGTTGTGGGGAAGAGTTTGCACCATTTGCATACACGTATTGGCGTCTGTTACTAAGTATGACTTTAGGTAGTTGAGGGAATGGCCTCTTATACCATAGTGTGTTAATTTAGTGTGCAGCAATTCATGGTCTACTGTATCAAAAACTTTACATAAGCCAATGAAAAATCTCAGTTGGAGAGCAGTATACATTAGCTCTAGCATGTGTATAATAGCATCATTTATGCTTTTATTATTCCTGAATCCAAACTGACAGGGGTTTAGTATGTTGTTCGAGATGAGGTAGGAATAGATCCGTCTATGAATTAATTTCTCAAAGATTTTAGAGTAGTGGTAAGTTAGAAATTGGTTTATAGTTATTCAAGTCAGCTTGATAACCTCCTTTGTGGATCGGGGTAACCCTCGCTATTTTGAGAACTCCTGGGAAGGTGGAGGACTCAATGGATTTGTTAAAGAGTGTTGCAATAATTGGTGACTACTTGTGAAGCTGTTTTGTACATAAAAGTAGGCAAGTTGTTTATATCTCCTGCCTTGTTCTTAAGGGTGTTGATGATGAGCAAGACCTCTGTTGGGTTGGTTTGGGCTAGGAATAGTGTATGTGGGTAGGTGCCTGTGAGATAGTCTGATGGACGGGTGTTTGAGCTTGGGATTTTGCTTGCTAGATTCTTTCCTATAGTGAAGAAAACATAGAGTCTGTTTGCTGTTTCAGTTGGTGGGAGTAGGGGTTCATCTGATTTTGTTAATTTGATTGTTTTGTTTTTGGATATCCTTTTAGTTCCTGGAATTTCAGATAGGGTTTTCCAGGTCTTGTTTATATCTCCTTTGATGTTTTGTAATCTGTTTTCATAATACATGCGATTTAATTTGGTTCTTCAGGGAAAGCAAAGGATAGTGGCTTGGAATGAGGTAGTTTCTCAGTGTCGCTGTTGTCGTACTTGACACATCATGTATCTGATTCATTTTTAGGTCAGTTCCATTTTTTTTTAATGATTCATTTGTTCACAAAAATGTATGGAGTGTTCCTGTGTAAGGATTTGGATGGATTTGGCTGAACATATTAACACCAATGAGAATATTTCTTTCAGTGACACGGTCTCTGCTGTTTGGATTGGCATGTTCTTGTCACATGTTCAGAATTTTGGTGGTACGGGGACATCCTAGGATGATCCTCATTGTTTTATTCTGCCATTTTTCAAGGCAGCAGAGAAGCTGTGCTCTAAAGATTCATTTATTATAGAATAATTAACAAAGGGTAAGTACCTCACTGTAAACCTATTCCAAGTCATTCATCTTTATAAAATTGACTCATGATTTCTCTTATAGTTTTATCTTTTAATTCTTCTGACATGGAAACACTCTTAGCTGTAATTTCAGTGATAAAAATACTAAAGAAAATGCTATAGTTATACTGTAATATCAGTGAAAAGCAAGCACAGGAAATTCTTTTCGCAACCAACATAATGACAAAGAGCATCAAAACTGAGAATCCTCAATTTGGGAATCCGCTTTCCCTGCCTAAATCTCTAGGCAGGAACAAATATTTCTGATGGAAACAAATATTTCTGATTGGAAAGGTTATCATCAGAATGGTTTTCATGGCATATTTGACTGATTTGAATCCTAATAGTTTTCAGCTTTCATCTGACAGTGGTGTATCATTCTACCCAGCAGGAAAGATGATAATGATAAATCGTACCATGGGTGGGGGGTTAGAACCCACGATCAGAGAGTCACAAAACTCCAGACCGACGCATTAGCCACTGGACCAGCTAGCTACAATAAGATTCATCCAACTTGGTATATTTCTACACCATAGGAAGGTTAGCATAGGTGTAGAAATATACCTAGCTGGATGACTCTTATTGTAGATAGCTGGTTCAGTGGCTAACGCGTCGGTTTGGAGTTTTGCGACTCTCTGATTGTGGGTTCTAACCCCATCCGTGGTATGGTTTGTTTGCAATCATGTCATTATGATTTTGTGAGCCATGATAATGATACAGCACGTTCCAAACTGTGTATTCCACTTGTCTAACAAGTTTCAAAAGTTTGAACTTCAATTACATCAGGTTTAAATTCACAGAAACAGGAATAAAAATGCAAGAAATATACAATAATATATTAAATAAAATAGATATTTCATTTGAAGAGAAGTTTTATAGCATAAGCAGTGCTTACCATGACTTTACAAACACATTATTACACATTGTACTGGAGTATACCTGGAGAGGGTTTTGGGGGTCAGCGCCCCCATGGCCCAGTCTGTGACCAGACCGCATGGTGGATCAGGGCCTGATCAACCAGGCTGTTGCTGTTGACTGCACGCAACCCGACGTATGAACCACAGCCTGTCTGGTCGGGTACTGACTTTAGGTGCCTGTCCAGCGCCTTCTTGAAGACGTCCAGGGGTCTATTGGTAATACTCCTTATGTATGCTGGAAGGCAGTTGAACAGCCTGTACCTTTTATGTGCATTATCAGCTGGGGGTGTGACAGGATCAGCTCTCAGGTTGCAAATATGATGTAGGAAGAGTGTTGGCTGAGGTTTACCCCATATATTACAAAAATGCATAATGGAACCTAAGAGAGGCAAAAATTATAGTAGAGTGAAGGTTAAAAGGCTCAGGAGCTGGAGCTCAACCTCAAAAAACACAGTAATAGAACAGTTAGTTTTACAGGGTCATAAGGACCACTATTTATGATGTAGCTACAAAGCTGAAAATGCAGGAAGGTATGTTGACATTTAATTTTTCATATTATTATTACAATCAAAACTAAGCACTAAACCCACAATGGTTATACAGCTAGGTTTTTCATATGAAGTCAACTGCTTCATTCTAAATACATTCTGCTGAACAACCCATATGGATCAAGAGCTTTATTGTGAATATAATGCAATATTAATGTAAATATATTTATTTCCAGGCATGATGGAGGAAGTGCTGGTGCTAAATAATTTCATCGCTGGAACAATGTTGCCTTGCAAGCGTTTACTGGACTCTTATGACCCTAGTACTGGACAGGTTTGGGCCAAGGTGCCAGACTCTGGCCAGCTTGAGGTTGAAGCTGCTGTGGCAGCTGCCAAAAGGGCTTTTCCAAAGTATGTCTTTTGTTTATTATATCTAGAAGTGATCCATAACTTTACACTTACTATTTCTTGAATCATTCTAAAAGCCCTGAAAACAAACACAGCCTTTGGCTGTCAAAATATATTCCTAGAGTTTTATTATGATTGAAGAGACAATAAATGATTTAACATATTTTATTTTATAGATGGTCAAGTTTATCTGCTCAAGAACGTGCAAACTACCTCTTGAAAGTTGCTGATCTGCTAGAATCAAGACTGGAAGAGTTTGCTGTTGCAGAATCCCAGGCCCCGGGGTAAACCTGTGGGCTTGCTAAAAAAAAGGAAATTTTCCCCAAGCTGTACTTAACTCAAACATTTCCCCCATACCTTTCCCCCATTTAAACCCAAGTGGGTATTTCAATAAAAAAACATTGGTTAAAACAAGGACTGAAGACAAGTTTAAATTAATCCCCCTTCGGGAAAAGGGACTCTTGTTGCAGTAAAGGGCTAAAGGGTAAAAACCTTGGTAATAAATACCGACAAGGAATTCCAGCTAAAGCACCTCCCTTTTTTCCCCTGGCATTGTACAACCCTGGGGGTTTGGGTGTTTTCATTTTAATAAAAATTAATAAAAAATAATAAAAATTCTTTCTTGCATGTCCCAAATTTTTTTTAATTTTGGTATTTATTAAAAAAAAGAATTGAAAAAAGCTATTTGCTAAGGAAAAATAGAGATTAACAATGGAACCTTGGTTTCCCAAAAAAACCCCTATTTATTGAAAAAATTTGGGTTATTTAAAACAGGGAAATTCAGCTCTGGTTCTCGACGGGGTCTTGAAGCCCAACTGAAAAAGGGCTGGGAAACACGTGACACCAGATCCAAAACGGGGGCCAATATAGCAACAAACATCCTGATTAAACATCTCTGGCTCTTGCTGGGGCATTTTGTGAAGGTAATGAAACAAAAAGTATAAAATTTGAGGGAAATTTTTAAAAAGGAAAAAAAACGCATTGGGAAGTTAGGGGTCTCAGAAATTATTTGGGCCCAGGGCAAATTTTGCCCATTTGGGAGCCCTTTTTGGGGGCATTTCCATTGCTCAAGTCGACTAAACTCAAAATTTTTTTTGTTAGAACCCCTTTTTATTCTTTTGACGGGGTAAAAGAAACTGCCCATCTATTTTTTTTAAAAACTACACAAAAAAGTTTTCTAAAATTTTCCAAATTTTTGGCCCAATTTAAACACAAAACCAAGAGAGGTAAATTTTAAAAATAGAGTCCCATAAAACAATGTAGACATTCCTGTAAAAAAAATAACATTTTACTTTTTCATTATCCCCGTCCCCGGGCCCCTCTTATTTATGTTTGTTTTTTCATTTTGAATTTTTATTCACACACAAAAAAAGAAGCCCTTACTGTTATTGGGACTACGGGCAAAATTTGGGGAAAAAAATTTTGTATAAAAAATTTTCAATCTTTTCCGGAATGAATTTTAGACCCCCCTTTTTTGCTGTTTTGGACGCTTTTTTGGGGATTTTTTAAATTTTTTTCAACAATAGCAAAAATCGAACATTTCACCCTTTTTTGAGCTAAATTTCAAGCTACTTTTACCTTTAAAAACCATTGAAAGCCCTTCTATTTTCCCTGTAATATATCTTCCATCAAAACCATTAGACCAATAAAACGAGAATCAACCATGAATACCATGTGAAAATACCCAAAAAGTCCTGTTTTAAAAAGCCAAAAAACAAGTCGCATTTTTTTTTTCCTCATGCACTTGTGCTGGGTTTTTTTATACTGTCACAGACCATGCAAACCCATTCTCTCACATGTGGGGCCTCCCAACTTTCTCCTGCAAAAATTTGTCATTAGCTCTCTTCTGACGGGTTAAGGGGCATTTAGATTTTCATTTACGTACAGTATTTATTTAAATTTAAAATTTTTCATTTAGTATTCTTTTTTTGCAGTTTCTGTGTGTTTTTATTTTTTTTAAAACATTTTTTTTATTTTAAGTAGTTAAAAAAATTTTAAATTATGAAATTTTTTGGCCCTTTTTTACTTTTAAATCTTTTTTGGAAAAATTTGGGTTTTGGGTTTTGTAAAACCTTTTGGGTTTTGTAAAACCCAAACCCATCTGGAACAATTAAGTTCGACAACCGGGTTCCACAGTTTTTTTTATTTCTTCCCCCATTAATGAAATTTTAAACTCATCTTCACACTAAAATTATGAAAATTAGCTAGACAATAGACCCACAATGCGGTAATAGTATAATATTTGTGATATTACTGAAGGGCTGTGTAGGTAACTCAACATCATTTTTGGGGAAAAATTTAAAAAAATTATTAAAAACACAATAAAACAAAAAAAAACAAAAAAAAAAACAAAAAAACCCAAATGAAAAACGAATAAAATAAGAACACAAAAAAAACTGCTATAAAAAAGGGTTAAAATAGCAACATCATTAAAAAAATCCCCCAAATTTTATAGGGAAAAAGCCCCTTTAAAATTCCTCGAGACCCTACACCCAACTTGAGTATTTTTAAAAAATTTGGTGTAGGGGAAAAGGCCAAACATTGGGCAAACTGTTAAAAATTGTTCCGCGGGTCACGGCACCCCAAACTAAAAAGGGGGAAGGGGAAAGGGGGAAGGAAGCGGGGGCATTTGCGAACATGTGGCTAGACTGAGTTGTTTTTTTCTGAGCCTCAGTCGACGGGCCCTGTTAAAGGGTGAAACACCCACGTCCCCCCAACCCTGTTAACTTACTGCCCCCTTTCCCAAAGGGGCTATCTGGGGAAGGGGCAAAGAAGTCTTTGAAAGGGAAATTTCTATAGAGTGGCTTGCTAGGGAAAATATTTTCCCCGGCATCTCCCCCCTCTCTTTTCCCTAAAAACCAAATTTTAAGGCCCCAGGCCCCAACAGAACACATCCTTGTTCAGAAAATTTTAGGCCCTCTGCATACACATTGAAATAAGAGCCAAGAAAACACCAATCAAGACAAACAAAAAGGAAATTAACAGTGAACAATGAATGACTTTTTAAACTGGGGCACATTAAATATCCTAACTAGCAATCACCCAAAAACCAACATTATTACCCTCTTTTTGGCCTGTCATAAGGGTAGCCTTTAAGCATAAGATATCTGCTCTAAGAAAATAAACCCAAAAATGGCCCCCAAAAAAAAAAACTTTTGGGGACTATTCAAAGAAGGGGAAAAAGAAGCCAACCCCTAAACCCAAAACACATCGGGGCCCCAATTCAGGAGAGGAGCCCCCGCATCTGAAGCAAATGGCAAAAGAAGGGCCCCAAAGATGATAAGGGGGTCCTCTGCCTTCTCACCCCTGCAAAAACGGCCCCTAAAGCCGGGTTTTGGGGTGATAACACCCGAAACCCCTAAAAAGGAGCATAGGCAAAAAAACGTCAGAACCTCCTGTTTTAGAGTCCCGAAAACTTTTTTGGGGGAATAACGACCAAAAACAACCCCAAAGCTTCAACGGGGTGGGAAAATTCTTGTTAGGAAAACCCCAAAAAAAAGGGCACCTGTACCAACACGAACAGAATGATCTATCAAAGATTTCTCAGGGATACTAATCTTACAGAAATAACTAAACAAGGGCCAACTTAAAAGCCCACATAGTGTAAATGGGAAGTTTTGCTCCATTATTGTTTTAAATTTCAAATTTTCAATCTCTTTGTAACTAAATAATCAACTACCTCATTTTTTTAAATTTTAATAGTTTAAACATAAGTCACCTTATGTAATTTTTTTTATTTTCTATTTTTGCCCTTAAAAAAATTTGCTGAATTGAAAAATTTTTTCTGTCCATTTTTTACTACCTCATATTTTTTTAAAAACTATCAATTGAAATTTCTTGCAAAATTAAAAAAATTAAACTTTTTACTATAATTCAATTTACCCTTAAAATTTTTGGGCGTTTAATAACCATTTCTTTCTAATTTACCTTTTCCTGTTTTTAAAACCCCATTTAAATATCTTAGAGACCCTTAATTAAACCTTTTACTTTCCCCTAAACCTCAATATAACTTCCGTGCAAAATTGAATGAAAAAAACATTACTTTTTTACTTTTTTTTTTAATCCTTTAATTTCTTTCTAAAATTTTTTTAAAACACCATATTTAAATACCCTCAATTTTTTCCTTTTTTAAAATTAAACATTATTTTATACCCTTTCCCCTAACAAAATTTTTTCCAAATTATCAAATTTTTATTTTCAACTCCAACCTTTTTTATTATCCTTTGTACCTTTTACCTGTCCCACCAACTTCCCATCAAAAATAAAAACCAAGACTTTTCCCCTTTTTTTTTTTTTTTTTTTTTATTATTCTTTTGGTACAATTAAATTTTGAATTTTATTTTGTCAAATTTTAAAACTAGTTATACTCTTTATCTTTTTCAACAACCTAAACCCCGACCCCCATGCAATTTTCAAATACCATTTTTAATTTTTATTTTTTTATTATAAGTTTAAATTATAATTTTCCCACTCTAAGATTTTTTCATAAACTTAGTGAAAATATTGTTGGGGGCCAAAAAGTGTAATTTCAAATTTTATTATTGTTCAAGGCCCTTAACTATCTTTTGGGTAACTAGTTTTCCCAAATACCTAAAAAAACTTTTTTTTTTCTACTTTTTTTTTTTTTTTTGCTACCTTAACTTGGGATATTTTTTCTTGTCAATTTAAAAAACTAGTTATTCTCAATTCCCTTTTAAACAACTTTTATAAAACCTTAGTGCAATTACAAAATTTAGAGAGTCTTTTTGGCCCCTTTTTTTAAAATTTTTAATTAAAAAATCATTTTACATAGCTTTATTCTTGGGTCAAAACAAGACTTCCACAAAAGGGGGTTATATTTGAAACCTTAGTGCCAAATTTCAAGTGGGAGTCTTGTTTTTATTTTTAAAATTTTTATTTTTTTTTTATTATTTTTTTTATACCCAGGTTTTTACTTTAAATTTTATTCCAGCCAAACCCTAGACCCATCAACTTCATTATGTGTATAGTGACCCATACTCATATGAAACCCAAAAAACTCTAGCTATAAAAACTTTTCCAAGCTTCCCACCCTACAGATAACATACTAGAACTCAAAACATAAATCAGGATATAAAAAACCATAATTTTAAAACCCAGAAGAGATTGATCCCCGTTTAAACCCGATCTAAAAACCCCCATAATCGACACCCAATCAAAACCCGTTGGAAAAAAACTGCCTTTTTTTACACACATCACAAGCCCGGGGCATCCTAAACAATGCTAAAAGCCTATCAGTACTTAAATTTAACATCGGTCCCCTTTAAACAAACAAAAAGATGACCCTTTCCCGGCACTCCTTTAATCCTAAAGCACCCTTTTTCCCGCATTATTTTACTGATACCTCTTTAAACAGGGCAACAATAGATATCTAACCCCCTACCAGATCACACCCAAATTTACAACTTTCAGAAACCCAAACCAAGTTTGGGGGGGGTATTTCAATCTATTACCTAACCAGTTATCTTGTATTAGCACCACTTCCTTTTTGATGAATAAAGGGGGAAAAAATTTTTTTTCAAAATTTAAATGTAAAAAACCCTTTAAAAAACCTATAACCCAAACGGGGGCCATTTACCGGATACCCACCCCAAACATCCCCAAATTTTTTAGTGAAAATTAAAATCACTTAAAAACAAACAGACAAAAGAATTTAAACACCCCTTCTCTTAAACTGGAAACTTCAACATCAACCTTTGGGTTACAGATGTTTACCTGTAACTGATTTCATCAACAAAATGAACAACACACTTCTCATACCAACAATAACAAAACCAACCAGGCTCACTGAGACAATGCAACCATAATAGACCACATTGGACCAATATACTAGCCCCCCTTAAATCAGGGATAATCACAGATAGCACTACAGACCACTACCCTACCTTCCTCCTGAAAAACATTAATAAACCACCACTTGAATACAACAAAGTCTCATTTAACTCCATGACGAGGCCTCAAAAAGGAAAGTTCACAACTGACCTAGAGATTGTTGACTGGCCTACAGAATTCTCCAAGGCCAATGGTATTGATGACTGGACAGACATTTTTCTTAAAAAAATTACTTAGACTATACAACAAACATTGTCCTATAAAAACGAAACAGATCACAAACAAAACGGCTTGGTTGCCCATGGTTTAACCAGCACCATTCTGAAATCCATTGACAAGAAACACCAAAAAGAAAAGCAATATAGACAGGGCTTTATACACAAATATTCTTAAACACTATTCATCAGTTCTCACCAAAGTAATAAAGAAAGCCAAACAACTAATTACTCCAGTAGATTCACAGACACTAGAGAGATATAAAAAAGACATGGAAAACACTCTCTCAGATTCTAGGACCCACAGACTGAAAAAAACAAGAATATTGTCCTAACAAACCTAATGAAACACCACTACATCCCACTGACACAGCTAACAAGAAAAAATGACTTCTAAACCATAGGATCTAATCTCGCCAATAAAATCCCACATACTAATGCCCATTCCGGGACTACCTAGAGGGGAATTTTCCCAAATTCCTTCTATCTTGCCACCAACTGAGCCCTCGAAGTCACCGAATTATAAAGTCACTTAAAAACAACTCAGGGAATCTGTCTAGTGTCCCCCCATTACTGTACAAGTGACGGCCCATATCCTTTCACATGCTTTTTTCATTACTTTTTAACAAGTCACTAGAAACTAGCACCTTCCCGAACTACTCAAGATGGCAAGGGTTACACCAATACTTTAAAGGTGGTGACCCTACAGACTTAAACAACTATAGGCCAATATCAAACTTACCATTGCTATCCTAAATCTTTGAGAAACTCGTGCACAGGAGACTATTTTTCATTTATAACAGCACAAAACATACTCAACCCCTGCCAATTTGGATTTGGGAAAAAATAAAAGCACTAATGATGCAATCATAAAAAGCTAGATCTGCTTTACACAGCATTGGAAAATAAGGAATATCCACTAGGAATTTTTATTGACCTAAGAAAAGCTTTTGACACAGTAGACCACGACATCCTACTCCACAAACTTGAAACCCTTACGGAAAAAGAGGCCATGCGCTTGCTTATTTCAAATCTTTCCTTACTAATAGGTATCAGTATATTACCATTAAAGACACAGCATCAACAATACGGCCACTTGATACTGGGGTTTTCCCCAGGAAGTGTCCTTGGTCCCCCCGCTCTTCCCCATATACATCAATGACTTCCAAACGTACCCAACACCTGAAACCCATTCTCTTTGCTGACGACACGACTTATGTCATCTCTCACCCTAATCTTGCCACCCTCAACACCATTGTTTAACGAGGAGCTGATCAAAATATCGACTTGGATGACAGCCAATAAAACTTATGCTTAACACTGACAAAACCTACTATATTATGTTTGGTAGCAGAGCAGGAGATGGGACAAATTAACATTAAGATCAACAACACTCTAATTACCAGACATAATGAGGGCAAATTCCTAGGCCATACCTTGACAACAACCTGAATTTCAGCACCCATATCAACAACATAAACCAAAAAAGTATCCAAAACAGTTGGGGTTTCCCCTCCAAGATACGATACTACGTGCCGCAAAATGCCCTTCCACACTATACCACTCACTTATTATCCATGCCTCACCTATGCTATTTTTGCTTGGGGTCAACTACAGCAAAAACACCTAAAGCCAATAATAACCCAACAAAAAGCTGCAGTAAGAATAATCACTAAATCCCATCCCTGGCAAACACCCCCCCACTCTTCACAGATCTAAACTTACTCCCTGTTCAGTACATCCCACACCCACTACTGTGCAATCTACACTACAGGACCTTAAACTCCAATATCAAACCCTTTACCTAAAACGCTTTCTTTATAGTTTTGTGACAGAAAAACCCCCAGGCATAACACCAGACACAAACATCTCTACGACATTCCCCATGTCCGACTAAACCCTTTAAAAAAAATTCAATGTATGTCAAAGGCCCCTAAAATCTGGAACACCCTACCTGAGAACTCTAGAACTGCAGACCACATTCATCACCTTCAAACCTACCATTAAAAACATCTTATCTCCCTGATAAACCCCATCAACTAACTACACGAATACCACCTGGTGGTTCACACTTACACTCACTCACCCATTTGACCCTAAACGAAATATTAATCTCAATCTTAAAATAATGAATCCTATGATACTCCAATACTGAAACTATGTACTGTGCCAAAACAAAAGCATTCACATTGCTAAACTCACAAACTAGTATTTAGTCACTTAGCCATAATACCAACTTACCTCATAATTTGTAATATTTTAAAATAATTAAACTAAGTCTGCCCGAAATGCCTAGCCATGCTAGGCATTCTAGTGGTACACTCTGTAATCATTATTTAACTACATGTAAACCACACAACAACCAAATTCTGTAAATTCAACATTGTAATCTTTATAGAGAATAAACTTTGAATTGAATTGGTGGAGATCCAGGAAAAACTCACTAGACTTGACAAAGTTTCCCCTTGACAGGGAAAATACGAATGCACCCATGCAAAGCCATATCCCTATGTGATGAACATGGTTCATCAAGCTTAGCCAAAGTTAAGACACATGTGCAACATCTGGATATCTTTATTGTAGATGTTTCGCCATCCAGTGGCTTTATCAATACAGATTCTAGGACATAATAGGAAGACAGTAGAACTATATACAAAAGATGAGGTAATCAGTCCCTCGGCCTTGGAGTTAGTGTTCACAGCATCGTGGTGGAGGAGAATCTGGAGCAAAGACAAGAAGACTGGCGGTTATATAGGCGTCAGTGGATAGGGACGGGCAGCAGACGAGGGCAAAGTCACTGGTAGGCGGGATTCCCCAGTGGAAGTAGGTCCTTCCCAAAGAGATGGGTTAGTTGCAGCAGCCGTGAAGAAGGTCTTGTAGATGTCCTCTGAACCAAGATTCCATGATGTTGCAGTGATGTTGACACTGCAACATCATGGAATCTTGGTTCAGAGGACATCTACAAGACCTTCTTCACGGCTGCTGCAACTAACCCATCTCTTTGGGAAGGACCTACTTCCACTGGGGAATCCCGCCTACCAGTGACTTTGCCCTCGTCTGCTGCCCGTCCCTATCCACTGACGCCTATATAACCGCCAGTCTTCTTGTCTTTGCTCCAGATTCTCCTCCACCACGATGCTGTGAACACCAACTCCAAGGCCGAGGGACTGATTACCTCATCTTTTGTATATAGTTCTACTGTCTTCCTATTATGTCCTAGAATCTGTATTGATAAAGCCACTGGATGGCAAAACGTCTACAATAAAGATATCCAGATGTTGCACATGTGTCTTAACTTTCATATTGTCGGTATTTTATACCTTTCTTGCACAAGCTTAGCCAAAACTATCTACCCTTTTTCTTGTCATTACAGGTGCCGCCTTATTAAAGCATCCCTTATACACAACATTCCTAACATGAATGTTATGCCTTGCTTGTGTCTGTTGATAGCTGCTTTTCTCATTACGTTGTCTAATGCTCTAAATTTCAAAACGCTCTTGACTTGACCTGACATTTGCCTCCTCCTCACCTTACCTCTTCCCCTTTCATGTACTTTGCTTGCCTTTCTTGTTTCCTGCCTTGGTGGCTTGTCCTATGGGGATATTATCCCACAGGGTTTTTAGTCCAATGTCCCTGGGCCAGTAGCTTTCCTGCAGTTCTCCTCTGTTTTAATATTCTTACGCACTACTACTATTTCTTCATTACAACTGCATCACTACTACTACTGCCACTCCTGCACCACCACCACTACTACTAGTGCCACACCTGCACCACCACTACTACTACTACTACTGCCACTCCTGCACCACTACTACTACTGCCACTCCTGCACCACTACTACTACTACTGCCACTCCTGCACCACTACTACTACTACTGCCACTCCTGCACCACTACTACTACCACTCCTGCACCACTACTACTACTACTGCAATAAAGTTGGTAGAATTACCGACAATATGTAAAGTAAAAGGACACAAGTGCAACTAATGTGACATTTATTGTGGCAATGTTTTGCTCTCCACTCCTGCACCTCTACTACTACTGCCACTCCTGCACTACTACTACCACTCCTGCACCACTACTACTACCGCTCCTGCACCACTAAACCTACTGCTGCCATTCCTGCACCACTGCTACCACTACAACTCCTGCACCATTACTGCTACTACCTCTCCTGCACCGCTACTAATGCCACTCTTGCACCACTACTACTGCAACTCCTGCACCACTACTACTACTACCACTCTTGCACTATTAGTACTACTATCACTCCTGCACCACCACCACTACTACTACTGCCACTCCTGCACCACCACCATTACTACTACCACTCATGCACTACTACTACTGCCACTCCTGCACCATTACCACTACTGCTAATCCTGCACCATTACTACCACTCTTGCACCATTACTGCTACTACCACTCCTGCACCAGTACAACTACTACTGCCACTCCTGCACCATTACTGCTACTACCACTTCTGCACCATTATGGCTACTACCACTCCTGCACCACTACTACTGCCAATCCTGCACCATTATTGCTACTACCACTCCTGCACCACTACTACTACCACTCCTGCACCCCACCACTACTAGTACTGCCACTCTTGCACCATTACTGCTACTACCACTACTGCACCACCACTACTACTACCACTCCTGCACCACTACTACTATGGCTCCTGCACCATTACTGCTACTGCCACTCCTGCACCACTACTACTACCACTTACTCTATTAGTACTACTACCACTCCTGCATCATTACTGCTACTAACACTCCTGCACCACAACCATTACTACTACCACTCCTGCACTACTGCTACTGCCACTCCTGCACCACTACTACTACCACTCTTGCACTATTAGTACTACTACCACTCCTGCACCATTACTGCTACTACCACTCCTGCACCAGTACAACTACTACTGCCACTCCTGCACCATTACTTCTACTACCACTTCTGCACCACTACTACTGCCAATCCTGCACCATTATTGATACTACCACTAATACTACCACTCCTGCACCCCCACCACTACTAGTACTGCTACTACCACTACTGCACCACTACTACTACCACTACTGCACCACTACTACTACCACTCCTGCACCATTACTGCTACTACCACTCCTGCACCACTACTACTACTACCACTCCTGCACCATTATTGCTGTTACCACTCCTGCACCACTACCACCATTCCTGCAACACTACTACCACCACTCCTGCACCACTACTACTACTACTTCTGCCACTCCTGCACCACTACCACTACTGCCACTCCTGCACCATTACTACTACTGCTAATCCTGCACCATTACTACCACTCATGCACCATTACTGCTACTACCACTCCTGCACCACTACTACTGCCAATCCTGTGCCATTATTGCTACTACCACTCCTGCACCCCCACCACTACTTGGACTGCCACTCTTGTACCATTACTGCTACTACCACTACTGCACCATTACTACTACTACCACTACTGCACCACTACTACTAACACTCCTGCACCATTACTACTACCACTCCTGCACTACTACTACTGCCAATCCTGCACCATTATTGCTACCACCACTCCTGCACCACTAGTACTACCACTCCTGCACCCCCACCACTACTAGTACTGCTACTCTTGCACCATTACTGCTACTACCACTACTGCACCACTACTATTACCACTCCTGCACCATTACTGCTACTACCAATCCTGCACTACTACTGCCACTCCTGCACTGCTACTCTTGCACCATTACTGCTACTACCACTCTTGCACCACTACTACTACTACTACCACTCCTGCACCATTACTGTTACTACCACTCCTGCACCACTACTACTACTGCCACTCTTGCACCACCACCACTACCACATTTGCACCATTACTACTACTGCACCACTACTACTACAACCACCACCACTACTAGGACTGCCACTCTTGCACTATTACTGCTACTACCACTACTGCACCACTACTACTACCACTCCTGCACCATTACTGCTACTACCACTCCTGCACCACTACTACTACCACTCCTGCACCACTACTACTACCACTCCTGCACCACTACTACTACTGCCACTCCTGCACCATTACTGTTACTACCCCTCATGCACCACTACTACTACTACCACCACTCCTGCACCACTACTACTACCACTCCTGCACCACTAGTACTACTGCCACTCTTCCACCATTACTACTGCCACTCCTGCACCACCACCACTACCACATTTGCACCATTACTACTATTACCACTCCTGCACCACTACCACCACTACTTCTACTACCACTCCTGCACCACTACCACCACCACTCCTGCACCATTACTGCTACTACCACTCCTGCACCACCACTACTACTTCCACTTTCAATACTAATACTACTTCCACTTTCAGTACTACTACTACCCCACTACTATTTCTACTACTACTATCACTACTACACCCCTATTACTACTACATCACTACCACTACTATTACTACAACATTACTACTTCTGTTAGTACTACACCATTACTACTACACCACTATTATTATTACTACACTACTACTTCTGTTACTACTTCACTACTACTGTTACTACTACTTTCTCCTCCTTCGAGTTCTGTCTTCTGCCATTCTCTGCCTTGTTTCCCATTCACTTGTAACTGTTGCGACTAGCTCTGTCCCTGATTATTCTTGTGCTACTGCTACTATCTCATCACTACTGCTAATACTACTACTAGCCAAGCCTTAAAGAGTCACCAGTCTGCAACCTCCGGCTGTTACCACAGAGAGCAGACTGGAGAAGAACTTAAATCTGTCTTTAGGTATTAACAGGTACCACAAACATTGCATTTTTTATGAGACTAACAATTTATACATTTAGGTAAGAGTAAAGATAACTTTTTTTGAAGATGCTTTTAGTAATTGTAGAAAAGTCTAGTATGTTAATGCAAATGGATGAAGTTTCAGACTAAATGTATATACTATAATGGAGAAAAACATGTATGATAAACTGTTTTTATATGCAGGTCAAATGTTCAGCCTGAGGCAGGTGTTGTCAACTACACTCTGAGAGAGCCTATGGGCGTGGCTGGCCTAATCAGTCCATGGAACTTACCACTCTATCTCCTTACATTTAAGCTGGCCCCAGCCCTGATGTGTGGCAACACAGTTGTTGCCAAGCCATCAGAAATGACCTCTGTCACTGCCTACATGTTCTGTAAAATTCTCCAAGAAGTTGGTAGGTCAAGTTTCATGGGCTTAGCCCTTCAATTTGGGGGTCCCTTGATGCTGGTTAAAGGCTACTGATCCAAGGAATCAGAGCTATCCCCTTCCTTGGATCAAATCTGATTGCCAATAATTTCCTAAGGTGATGTGTGATCCTTGCAGGTTTTCCATGTCCATACAAATTTAATAAGTATAAAGGCCTGTGATGGTAGCTGCAGTGGTGGGGTCTGTGATGGTAGCTGCAGTGGGGGGGGTCTGTGATGGTAGCTGCAGTGGTAGGGTCTGATGGTAGCTGTAGTGGTAATGCAGGGATGGTAGCTGTAGTGGTAATGCAGGGATGGTAGTTGTAGTGGTGGAGCTTGTGATGGTAGTTGTAGAGATGATGCAGTGGCAGGGCCAGAGATGTGAACTGAAGTGGTGATTGTGATGGGGCCTGAGGAAGTACCTAAAGTGGTGATTGTGTTGGTGCCATAGGAAGTACCTAAAGTGGTGATTATGGTAGATGTGGTTTTGGTGACTGAGATTATGACTGTGGTGGTGCCTGAAATGGTGACTGTTGTGGTGTCTGAAATGGTGACTGTGGTGGTGCCTGAGATGATGGCTGTGGTGGTGACTTGATATGGTGACCTAGTTGATGGCTGTGGTGGTTGCTGAGATGATGGTTGTAGTAGTGGCTGAGGTGGTGACCTAGATGATGGCTGTGGTGGTGACCGAGGTGGTGATCTAGATGATGGCTGTGGTGGTGGTGACTGAGGTGACCTAGATGATGGCTGTGGTGGTGACTGAGGTGGTGACCTAGATGATGGCTGTGGTGGTGACTGAGATGATGGCTGGAAATGGGAAGTATTTTTATCTTTCCTGTATTACAGTAGTGTACATGCTGTACGTGTAGTATGCCATGTTAAAAAACTTCTCTAACACTGTCTTAGGCTGTGATTGTAATGTATCTTTTGTGTTGTGAGCAGATTTCCCAGCTGGTGTAGTGAACATGGTGTTTGGTCTAGGACCAACTGCAGGGGAGGCTCTTGTAACACATCCTGATGTTCCTTTGATCTCATTCACTGGCTCTACAGTCACTGGCAGACACATTGCTCAAGTTGCCGCTCCAATGTTCAAAAAATTATCACTTGAAGTGAGTATACCGTATTAACAGTTTACTAAGGTGATTCTAGAGTGAAGAGGAGTATTCAGTTGGGTATGTGGCTTTTAGGAATGGTCATGATTAGCAAACAGAGGATCAAGCCTCCGCCACTAATTGGGCTGAATGATGCAATAGGGAATTCATTAAGTTTTTTTGCAGAATTATGTCCAATTCATCATGTCTTTAAAAATAACAATAATAATAATAATAAACCATTATTATTTTTTCCAAGAAGATACATTACTGTTACATAGATTAATCTACCTTATTTATATCTTACATGGAAAAGTCTAGTTATACAAAGCTTTTCAGGCAGACTTAACTAGGAATTGTAATACAACAAAAATAATACATTGCATGCATAAAACAAACATAAATAGTATATGAAAGAAAAATGCTTTACAGTGGACCCCCGCTTTACGATCAGCTCCCAATGCGACCAATTATGTAAGTGTATTTATGTAAGTGCATTTGTACGTGTATGTTTAGGGGTCTGAAATTGACTAATCTAATTCACAATATACCTTATGGGAACAAATTCGTTCAGTACTGGCACCTGAACATACTTTTAGAATGAAATAATATTGCAAACCGGGGGTCCACTGTATTTGGTAATATGTACTAATTGTACTACCTCATATTAATAATAAACTTAATTGCAAACTTAAAAGTGTATGTTTGTGTCATAAATTGTACTACTTCATAATAATAATAAAGTAAAATATTGAATACAGTGGAACCTCATGCGAGTTTTTCCAGATACAAGCAATCGCTCGGTCAGTTTTTTGCTTCCAGACGCGTGCAAAATTTCCAGATGCGAGTGGGCCTCAAGGGAGGTTCCTTGACGCTGGTGAGGGGTTCTTGTTCTTATACACAAATAACCCGCACATGAAAGAGAGGGAGAGGAGGAGGAGGAGCATTAGCATCATTACCATTACCAGCAGCAGCATTAGCATTAGCAGCATCATTAGCATTAGCATTAGCAGCAGCATTAGCATCATTAGCATTAGCAGCAGCATTAGCATTAGCAGCAGCATTAGCATCATTAGCATTAGCAGCAGCATTAGCATCATTATCATTAGCACATTAGCATTAGCACATTACATTTGCAGCATTACAGCAAGCATTTGCACACAGCATAAGCACAGCAGGCGCAGCCAGCACAGCAGCAGCGCAGCAGCAGCACAGCCAGCGCAGCAGCAGCACAGCAGCACAGCAGCACACAACAGCAGCAGCGCAGCAGCAGCAGCAGCCACAGCAGCAGCAGCAGCAAACCCGCACAGCAAGGGAGCAGCGAGCACACAGCAGCACAGCAGCACAGCACAGCACACAGCAGCAGCACACAGCACAGCAGCAGCAGCAGCACACAGCAGCAGCGCCGGGAGCACAGCACAGCAGGGACACAGCCGCAAACAGCAGCAGCAGCAAGCGCAGCACAGAGCAGCCAGCAGCAGCAAGCACAGCAGCAGCACAGCAGCAGCACAGACAGCAGCGCAGCAGCAGCAGTCACAACCCGCAGCAGCAGCACAGCAGCAGCAGCACACACAGCAGAGCAGCAGCAGACACCAGCAGCACAGCAGCGCAGCAGCGCGCACAGAGCAGCAGCACCGCAGCAAGCCAGCGCAGCAGCAGCAGCAGCAGCACACAGCACAGCAGCACAGCAACAGCACAGCCAACCCGCTCACAAGCAAGCAGCAGCAGCAGCAGCACACAGCAGCAGCAGCCAGCAGCAGCAGCCCGCAGCAGCAGTAGTAGTAGTATATATATATAGTATAGAGCAAGCAGCACACAGCAGCAGCAAGTAGGAGTAGGCAGCAGCATAGTAGTACGCACAAAAAATAAGGAGGACAGCCATCAAAAACAAAGGAAGGGGGGCACTAAGAGAGCTAGTGCGCACAGAGGTGCCTTGCCCCCAATTGTTTTTTGGACATCTTTTTGAAACCCGGCAATATATGATGGGAAAAATTTTCTTAACGTATACCAAAATTTAAAGAAATTGGACCATAAAAACGATTTTACTTTTCGCCCTTAGCCATCCATTGCAGTATATTTTCCTATAGTTTTTATGGTTGTATTTTTTTTTTTTTTTTTTTTTTTTTTTTTTTTTTTTTTTTTTTTTTTTTCATTTCATAGAACGGAAGATATGTTACAGCAATAGATATGATTTTGATTGATTTTTGAAGAAAAGTACCTTTGAAATTGAGCTCAAAGTAGCAGAAATATTCAATTTTTGCCAATGTTCAAGAGTAAACAATATCTGTACAAGTGGCCATTCCAAATATGCAGTCATGAATGGGTTGACATTATTTATACAATTATTGCAATAATGCAGTAGTCTGCATAACAGTAAATCTTCTATTTTTTGTGTGAATAAAAATTCCAAATGGTTAGCAAGAGTATTATTATAATAATAATAATAATAATACAGTGGTACCTCGGGATACGAATTTATTTCGTTCCAGAAGACTGAGTGCAGATACCGAACGAATTTGTTCCCTTAAGGAGTATTGTAAATTAAATTAATCCATTTCAGACCCCCAAAAATACACTTACAAAAGCATTTACATAAATACACTTACATAATTGTTCGAGTTTTGAGCTATTTGTATCCCGAGGTACCACTGTAATAATAATAATAAGTTTAATATAATAATTATATAATAATATATGTAATATAATATAAATTATTATAATACATTTTTTTTTTCCAACAAGTCGGCCATCTCCCACCGAGGCAGGGTGACTCAAAAAAGAAAGAAAATCCCCAAAAAGAAAATGCTTTCATCATCATTCAACACTTTCACCACACTCACACATTATCACTGTTTTTGCAGAGCTGCTCAGAATACGACAGTTTAGAAGCATATACATGTACGTATAAAGATACACAACATATCCCTCCAAACTGCCAATATCCCAAACCCCTCCTTTAAAGTGTGGGCATTGTACTTCCCATTTCCAGGACTCAAGTCCGACTATATGAAAATAACCGGTTTCCCTGAATCCCTTCACTAAATATTACCCTGCTCACACTCCAACAGATCGTCAGGTCCCAAGTACCATTCGTCTCCATCCACTCCTATCTAACACGCTCACGCACGCTTGCTGGAAGTCCAAGCCCCTCGCCCACAAAACCTCCTTTACCCCCTCTCCAACCCTTTCAAGGACGACCCCTACCCCGCCTTCCTTCCCCTATAGATTTATATGCTTTCCATGTCATTCTACTTTGATCCATTCTCTCTAAATGACCAAACCACCTCAACAACCCCTCTTCTGCCCTCTTATTAATGCTTTTATTAGCTCCACACCTTTTCCTAATTTCCACACTCCAAATTTTCTGCATAATATTTACACTGCACATTGCCCTTAGACAGGACATCTCCACTGCCTCCAACCGTCTCCTCGCTGCTGCATTTAAAACCCAAGCTTCACATCCATATAAGAGTGTTGGTACTACTATACTTTCATACATTCCCTTCTTTGCCTCCATAGATAATGTTTTTTGACTCCACATATACCTCAATGCACCACTCACCCTTTTTCCCTCATCAATTCTATGATTAACCTCATCCTTCATAAATCCATCCGCCGACACGTCAACTCCCAAGTATCTGAAAACATTTACTTCTTCCATACTCCTCCTCTCCAATTTGATATCCAATTTTTCTTTATCTAAATCATTTGATACCCTCATCACCTTACTCTTTTCTATGTTCACTTTCAACTTTCTACCTTTACACACATTCCCAAACTGATCCACTAACCTTTGCAATTTTTCTTTAGAATCTCCCATAAGCACAGTATCATCAGCAAAAAGTAACTGTGTCAATTCCCATTTTGAATTTGATTCCCCATAATTTAATCCCACCCCTCTCCCGAACACCCTAGCATTTACTTCTTTTACAACCCCATCTATAAATATATTGAACAACCATGGAGACATTACACATCCCTGTCTAAGACATACTTTTACCGGGAAGTATTCTCCCTCTCTTCTACACACCCTAACCTGAGCCTCACTATCCTCATAAAAACTCTTTACAGCATTTAGTAACTTACCACCTATTCCATATACTTGCAACATCTGCCACATTGCTCCTGTATCCACTTTATCATATGCCTTTTCTAAATCCATAAATGCAATAAAAACTTCCCTACCTTTATCTAAATACTGTTTACATATATGCTTCAATGTAAACACTTGATCTACACATCCCCTACCCACTCTGAACCCTCCTTGCTCATCCGCAATCCTACATTCTGTCTTACCTCTAATTCTTTCAATTATAGCCCTACCGTACACTTTTCCTGGTATACTCAGTAAACTTATTCCTCTATAATTTTTATAATCTCTTTTGTCCCCTTTCCCTTTATATAATGGGACTATACATGCTCTCCGCCAATCCCTAGGTACCTTTCCCTCTTTCATACATTTATTAAACAAAAGTACCAACCACTCCAACACTATATCCCCCCATGCTTTTAACATTTCTGTCATGATCCCATCAGTTCCAGCTGCTTTACCCCCTTTCATTCTACGTAATGCCTCACGTACCTCCCCCACACTTACGTTCTGCTCTTCTTCACTCCTAAAAGATGGTATACCTCCCTGGCCAGTGCATGAAATTACCACCTCCCTTTCTTCCTCAACATTTAAAAGTTCCTCAAAATATTCTCGCCATCTACCTAATACCTCCCTCTCCCCATCTACTAACTCCCCTACTCTGTTTTTAACTGACAAATCCATACTTTCCCTAGGCTTTCTTAACTTGTTTAACTCACTCCAAAATTTTTTCTTATTTTCATTAAAATTTCTTGACAGTGCCTCTCCCACTATCATCTGCTCTCCTTTTGCACTCTCTCACCACTCTCTTCACCTTTCTTTTACTCTCCATATACGTACTCTGCTCTTCTTATAACACTTTTGCTTTGTAAAAACCTCTCATAAGCTACCTTTTTCTCTTTTATCACACCCTTTACTTCATCATTCCACCAATCACATGTGTACATGTGTACTACTACTAATAAATAATACTATAATAATACTACGTATAAGTGAGTTTGAGAACACCACCACAAGATGGCATTACGTGTATGAAAACAATCTGCGTGTGCTTCAACTGGCAATGGATACTTCTCGAAATATCCTACATTTAGCGCCAGTTATTTTGCAGAATTTCTTGTTTTCTAACCATGGGTCCTAAAAAAAGCAAGTGCAAAGGACAAGCTGAGAAGAAAAAGAGGAAGATTTCCAGGGAATTAAATCAGGACATCATTGAAAATAAAAACTAAGAGTGTAGCATTAACAGTGTAGCATTAACACTTTGACTGTTGCAAGCCCATTTTTGAAACTATCATTCTATGTTAAAAAATATTAAAAAAAAATTATTTTTTCTTACCAAAAAACATTATCATTATTATATTGTTTACAAAACTTGTTTACACAAACCAACAATACAGAAAATTATTTATTACTATTGTTCTATAATATATATACAAATGTACAGTCACTGAACACTTTCCTAGAACTGCTGCAGCTTGTGGAAGTCTTTGAAACTCTGTGTTATGCACAGTGGAGTTTTACACTCCTCACACATAAAATGAGTGTCTGCATTTTTGTGGGCATTTTGTGGTATGTGCACAGACAAAACACCTCTTCTGAGCACTTGAAAGTAGTAGGAAACTGTATGGGGTAGTGATCACCAGGCCTTAGACAAGAGGGCATGTGTTGGTAATTTCGTGGGCACTGGTCTATTGCAGGTGTTGTTCCTTGGTACTTGAATATTATTTGTCTGATGACTGACAAAAAAAATTCACCATATTTTGGTTTGTTGTTGGTCTTCAACTTGTACATGTTATAAGCATTCAGCATGGAAGTGTCAAGAAGATGGAAAAAAAGTTTTATGTACCACTTACAACTCTTGCAAGCACAATCAGCAAACCCAATCTGCATGTCACATTTGTCCACTAAGCACATATTGAGGTTGTAGTCTATCACAGCTGCAGGTTTTAGAATGGGTTCATTGGTCTCTCTGTTCTGCCTGCCACTGTCTGCCATTCCATTTCAATGAACTGATGTCAACAATATGACATCACATTTGTCATACCACCGAAATGCCATGATGTCACTGGCAGCAAACACCTGCACCTCAACTCTACGAGTGCCTGCGTCGAACCTAGGCATATGCTTACAATTTCCATGAACTCTGCCACACACGTCTGTCATGTTCACTCGCAAGAAATCATTGAGTAAATGGCTTGTGTACCAGTTATCAGTATATAATATATGCCCCTTACCAAGATATGGTTTCATCATTATTTTAACCACATCATCAGAGATACCCAATAACTTCCTGGTATCTCTCAATGTATTACTGCCAGTGTACACAATTATATCCAAAACCAGACCACTTTTGCAATCACACCAGTACAAATAACTTTATACCAAAGTGTTTCCTCTTGCTTGGTATATAATGTTTGAACAACAGTCTGCCTTGGAAGAAAATCAAAGGCTCATCAATAACAAGCTTCGTGAAGGATAAAAATACATACAGCACTTTTGTTTCAGGTATATAAACACATTCCTGATCTTGTATAACCTGTCGTTTCTGTCAGATCTTGTTTTGTCTGAGAAATGTAGCATACGTAACAGTAGCAAAAATCGATTCAATGGTACAATATCACTAAAACCTGGAGTTCAAATCAGGCGTTCCATTGAACAGTATGTGGTGAGTGTGTGCTTATACACATGTGGCATAAGCATTATTGTGGGAGAGAACGGGTACATCTCTGCCACAGTTGTGTCCTTCCACTGGTGTAGCCGTGACCTTGGTGAAAGAATTGTGTTTGCCATGGTGTACTCATAGTATGTGTTGCTTTCACTGACAATAATTTCCATCAGGGGTTCATCGAAGAATAACTGAGAGCATTCTAGTTCAGTGGCATTGTTCCACTTTGTGTTTCATCAAAGTCATGCGGATTGGGAACTAAATTGGCACCTTGCTGCCAATCCCAGATGCAGTCTTCTGGTGGGTGCTTGATATTGAAAGGTGTTACAAAAAATGCGATTCTAAAAGCTTAGAGATCTCCAGTGAATACTAGAAAGGACTGCCCTTCTAGCATCCAGCCTGTTACTGGGTTTTCGTAACAATTAGTCAGTATCCTTGTCCAATTATCCATTAGAATTCAGTATGAATTATTAGTGCTTCAGGATTACAACTGGTAGGCTACTAACTAGAGAAATTAAAATTTAATAAATTTATTAAGTTGTCTAGGCGTATATCAAATTAAATTAATCACAGTAATCAAAATAATATTAATCACTTCTCTCGTGTACAATATTATTGTGCTGAAAGCACATATCACAGTTATAATTCTTAAGTACTGTCTGGTACATTAACACAATAAGATATTACAAATATTTACAAGTAAGTTTCTGTGTATGCGTAAGTGCTCTAAGTAGTTCGCTAAGTCTCACGACTCGACTAAACTTAAATAAGTGACTGACAAAGTTCTCTCAAACTAACTTCTTGACCAACTGGCAATCAGAACAGTCTGCTTGAACAATAAAATGAATGCTAAGTCCAATAGCAATGTAACAAGCAACTGCGACACAGAATCAGGAACAAGAAGATAATATAACGACAGCTAGTAGGGACCATCAGCAGATCCTCCACAAAAGTCACAAAACTCCCATACTACTGAATCTAAGTTCAGCATAAGAAAATCCTCGACTGTGATAATACACAGATACCAATACAAGTTAGGTCAGAAGCTACAGCTCAGGACCTGAGTTGCTCAGAATGTCTAAGAGACACACAACTTCAGTACAACGTCGAAAATCACTAAGTCTATACAATGTTCTGTGAACAGTC